AGAAAGAAAATATAACCAGCTAATTGGCTAACCAATTAAAGTCAACATTAAATAAATACAAAATTAAGCAATTAATGCAGCAGATGGTAAAATAATCGTTTCCTTTTATGAAAGTGGTCAGCAGGCTAAGGTAGAGTACTTCGTTTCACAGTTTAACTGTCTAGAACCCACAAAAACTAATCCAGGACAGGAGAAAACCTGGCATTAGCAAGGACAGAGTACTCCAACCTAAGAAAAGCTATTTCTAGGCTGACCACTTCCCAAAGGATACCTCTGTTCTTCCAGTGAACAACCGCACTACAGGAGAATGTACACGTTATTTCCTTTGATCCTTTCAATAACTGAGGCAGGTAAAGATTACTACCCCCATTCCGTTAATGAAAAAAGCTAGGCTCAGATACACTACATGGCTTGCCCAGGGAAATTCAGCTAAAGAGTGATGGAGCAGAACTTCATGCCCAGATTTACATCAAATTAATTCCACAGCGAGTGCATTTCCACTAGGCTGCCCAAAGATGCAGCTATGTCTTGAATATACTCACAAGGTAAGCCATCACCAGTTAAGAGAAAAAGCAAGTAAAAACTGGAGCCTCTACTGGCACCAAAAACAAACTGTGTAGTACTGAAAATACTGGTTTTTAAAATGATGAGATTTAGTAAACTTTACTGACAGGATTAAGAGTTAACACTAAATAATTTAAAACAGCATTAATAAAATAAGATGATAAAATGTAAATACCTTCACACCAAGATTGAAGAAGAATCGAAGAATATTCTTATCTGAAAATAATCATTTGTTAAAATTATATATCTGCAGAGCTTTTTTTTCAATCATCCTTATGAAACACATAATTCTAAAGACAGTATTACCTATGATAATTGTTTTCTCTAGCCTGTGATACAAATCATAGATAAAAACTGTAATGGCCGGCTATGGCAGCTCACGCCTGTAATCCCAACACTTTGGGAAGCTGAGGCGGACAGATCATGAGATCAGAAGTTCAAGACCAGCCTGGCCTATATGGTGAAACCCCATCTCTACTAAAAGAATACAAAAATTAGCTGAGTGTGGTGGCATGTGCCTGTAGTCCCAGCTACTTGGAAGACTGAGGCAGGAGAATCACTTGAACCAGGCAGGTGGAGGCTGCAGTGAGCTGAGATCATGCAACTGCACTCCAGCCCAGGCAATAGAGTGAGACTCCATCTCAAAAA